TCCTCAGTATCTTTCGTTTCGAGGTAAAGGTTGCTACTCCATCCTTTTTCGCTCTTTGTTTACCTGAACTTCATAAATATCTTTTACGATTGCTTTTTCGAGACACTGATTCAACATTTATTTTGATCTCTTTGACTGCAACCCTGACGTCACGGGGGAAGTGACGTACTTCCGCCCTCGTGTGAGTTCTACTCACGTGCCGCGAATATAAGGCAAAAGGAATCTTCACCTGGAAAACTAAAGGTAAGCATCTGTTTATCGTTCTTCTATCACCACCCACTATTATAAAATATACCCGATTAATAGCTTTCCTGCATACACACTGCAAATGCAGTGAAAACACTTTTACAGACACGGTGAAAATGGATTTTGTATCTGAAAAGGTAAAACCTAAAGGAAATATTTTATTTAAAAAAATTTTATTCGTTTTATAAATGGAATTTAAAAAATTACTTTTTGATAACATAATAAATAGGTAATAAAATTCTAAGTATGTCATATGTAATTTATGTTTTTCAACTGATTGTTTTTAATTGTCTCAAATATAGTATTTTAACCGTATTGATTCAATATTATTTATGTTGCCTGATGGCCAATTGGCTAACTCTCTGGCCTTTGTTACCACAGACTCCAGGTTCGAATCCTGGCGTTGGCATGGATATTTGTTAGTGGTTCGGAATCCATGTTAAACTCTAGGCCCCGGTCTGTTTAACCCTCCTGTGCACAAGATGACCGTAGAGCGACAAACCAAATCAATATATTTATGGATTAAATAATTTAGAAATTTTAATTCTTTTATTTGGATATGTTAGGTATTTCTTTTGAAGTAATAATTATTAAGAGAATTATTTATTATCTTACACTTACTTTTTATTTGTTGAACTGTCGTAAAAATTTCATAAAAATTTTTTTTTTTTTGTATTTTTATACGTCAGAACATTTCTGTAGAATTTTAATTAAATTGTTGGTACTTACGTATTAACGGTACCGTGGCGACAGACTTGGCGGTTTTTAAGTGTCGTCAATCTTTATTATTTGGAATAAAAATATTTTGAAAGCGTTTTGATTTTAAATGAAGTGTTTCATATATATTTTATTATTTCGAACAAAAATTTTAAGTGTAGATTGGCGCCAAATCTGTAGCTGCGGTTGGCGCGTGTGCTCTTTATTGGCGCAACTGTCGCCAAGGTACCGTTAATACGTAAGTACCAAATTGTTTATTATTAAATGCATTAGAGCTTTACTAATATTTTAGTATTTTATTCGCTTCGTGTAGAAATATTATTTTACTTCAATAATAAATATATGCCAAATAAAAAATAATTTTCATTAAAAAATTAAAAACATATCCTGTAATTTCTACTTATTATCGCTAATATGCATTAAATCTATCAAAAAGAAAAGAAAAAATATTTTTATGTTTTTAAAAATTCCGATTGGTGGTATTTCTTGTTTTTCGCTAATCATTTACGCTATTTTTATTTCTGTTTAATTATATAAATATTAAGGATATTATCAAGGATTCTTCGTAAACATCTTTGAGCTTGAAAACACCAGACTAAAATTTTTTTATATATGATGTTTTCCTCTATACATTGGTTATAATACCTGTAAACTTTATTATAATCTTATGGATTGGCAATTTATAGCATTACCAACAACCAATAAATTAAATGAAGGACTGTTATGGACATTTTTTCTCTTCTTTTGTTAGTAAGATGAAGTAAATTGAATAATTTCCCAGAATATTACTTTTAAGTGCATAAAATCAAATCAAAGTTGTTGTTTGTTGTTGTTTCTTATCCCACTTGGCTGGTCAAGCCCACGAGCCCATAAGTACTCATGATTGAAGGGGAAGGAAGCAGCTTCTGTTGTGATGGAGCACCCGTAGGTAGAAGCCTGACTTTGGCTCCGTGACACTCTTACAGTCATAGGAGACCGGGACCTATGGCTTAAAGTGGATTCCGAACCACTACAAACATCCATGGCACCGCCGGTATTCGAACCCGAAACCTGTGACACCGAGCGCCAGAGCGCTAGATACTCGGCCATTCAGGTCCCAAATTTGTGAATGCCAACGGCACGCGGTGTTCCCAGGTGGTCACCCACCCTAGTACCCAAATCAAAGTAAATACACTATGTTAAAAACAACAAAAACGAACGGGACACACTAATAATACGCGGGTTTTTTAAAGGCACATTATAAAGGATGTTCTCTATAATGACATTGTTAAATAAAAGAAATTCTCTATTATGAAACTTTTTAACTAAGTGATATCATTTAAATTGATTGAAGAGCATCCGAAATAGAGAAAGCAAAATTTGCATTGACAAAAATCTTTCATAACAGATAATTTCTTGATGACTTAATGAATATTATAATGATTTAAAAATATCTATACAATTTACATCTATATACATTATTGGTCAACAAATAATTTTCACTTTTTTCCCTTAAACAAAACTTAAAAAAACGTAAAATGAGTTATTTGATGTTAGATCCCAAAGATGAAATTATTCTGTGTTTAAATTTTTTAAATTATTTCATGTGGGGTTTTTTTCTGATTCTTTATGATTTTCAGGACTTTTTAACTATACATAGGGCAATACTTCTAAACACGAATTCTTGTTTGTTATCTTTAAAAATTTTTGTCTTCATATTAAACACACAATAGGATAGTATAGATCGCTCAACAATTGCTAAATTTAAAAATATACAATTGCCTAAATTTAGTATATTGAAAAATTAATAAAATAATTATATCAATGCAGTTACAATTAAACCAAGAATCTCCATTCTTGGAGGGAACTGCACTTGTGAATCAAATTATCTTTAATTTTCATTTTTTTTGTAAATAGAGCTCTGTATATACTATATAGTGCTTGTAAATGAAAATTAAAGTGTTCGCATTTAATTTTCATTTTTTTTTTTTGTAAATAGAGTTCTGTATATACTATATAGTGCTTGTAAATGAAAATTAAAGTGTTCGCATTTAATTTTTTTTTTTTTTTTTTTGTAAATAGAGTTCTGTACATACTATATAGTGCTTGTAAATGAAAATTAAAGTGTTCGCATTTAATTTTCATTTTTTTTTTTTGTAAAAGAGTTCTGTATATACTATATAGTGCTTGTAAATGAAAATTAAAAGTATTCGCATTTAATTTTCATTTTTTTTTTGTAAATAGAGTTCTGTATATACTATATAGTGCTTGTAAATGAAAATTAAAGTGTTCGCATTTAATTTTCATTTTTTTTTGTAAATAGAGTTCTGTATATACTATATAGTGCTTGTAAATGAAAATTAAAGTGTTCGCATGAACCTGAAAGTGACCCTCTTCTTGAAGCCGTTATAAATCTGGTAAAGTCCGAGACGTTACACTACCTAAGGAATTTATCATACCGACTAGTGGGAAACAGACGGGAGCTTTCGGTTCGGGTTTTGACCAAAGTTCAGAAATGCACCGCAATATCCATGAAGCCATTCCGGTCAAGAATTATAAAAACTATTATAAATTTATATCCATTTGAATGTCTTATGTTTCGCTTTATTAGTGTTGCATTTCGTTAAGCTCGTGCATACGCCCAACATGAAGTGTAAAAGGAGGCTCTATAGCACGGGTTTAGTCCAGAAGAAAGAAGAGCTTATGAAAAAGCTCAACCCTCTTCTGCGTGGATAATCTACTTTTAATAGACAAGGGAGGGTCTCTCCCACTTCCGGCAGCAACAGTCTTTTCTTTCTCTGTGTTCACTGCGGCGCATCTGACAATCTTTCATGAAGAGCAAGAAACAGCTCTTAATGTATCTCTGTGGGTTTAGAAATGGCAAAGAGAATATGAATCGTATTTCATTTTGACTTTACGTTTCGTTTTAGTCAAGATCTTCAAATTTTTTAACTTCCAAACCAATTATTATTTTTCTCAATGAGGAAATTCGCTATTGTCACAGCAAATCCTGTCCTGCAATTTGGTAATAAATACTCTCAGAAGTGGTATCTGGAGGTTCTTTCTTTTCTCCTTTTTAAAACTAATGGAAATATTTTCAAACCTACAGATTTATCATGGCCGTTCCCGAATGGACACAGGAATTTTCAGTTCGGCTTCGTTTGCCTGCTTCTAAATATTACAAATTACGAATATATAAAAATGCTTGTAATTATGTTACAAAATTATGTATAAGTTTGTATGGCAAAATAGTGCAGAGGTTTCTTTAATTATGCTAATTCAAAGTGCTGATCTTCAATGCAGATCGCGGGCTGATAACCGATTGACTAGTGCTCTGGCCTTTGATACCAAAGGATGCTTCAATTTCGAATTCTAGCTGTGGCATGGATGTTTGTGAGTGGTTCCGAATCCACGTTAAACTGTAGGTCGACAACCTCCCCCTTGGAAATTGCATTATAAATGTAAATAGATTTATATAACAGTTGTGGGTGTTATGTTAATTATATTTTACAAAATAATTGAAAACACAAAAATGGAATCATATTTGACAGGGCAGTATATGAACACGCACATCAACAGTATTGTTGTTGTTGTTTCTTATCCCACTTGGCATACATCTATACCAAGCCCACAAACCTGTATGGACTCATGGTTGAAGAGAAAATGGCGGAGCTTCTGTTGTGAAGTAGCCCCCGTAGGTAGAAGTCTGACTTGGCAACGTGACGCTCTACAGTCATATGAGATCGGGACCTATGGCTTAAAGTGGATTCCGAACGACTAACAAACATCCATGACACCACCGGGACTCAAACCCTGTAGCACCGAGCTCCAGAGCGTTAGACACTCGACCCACCGTTAGACACTCGACCACTCGTTAGACATTCAGGAGCTCACCTCGACAGTGATAGCTGACACATCTTTCACCCTTATGATAATTCGAGTATTGCTGTTAAGATAAAGACGGAAGCACTTATTTATAGTGACTTTTTACGAATGATGAAATTATTTTTTTTGCAAAAGTGTTGCGTTATTTTTGTATCTATAAGAAGGATGATGCCAACGGCCGTACCATGCTGAATATACCGGTTCTCGTTAGATCACCGAAGTCAAGCATCATTGGGCGCGGTCCACCTGGGTACCGCGTGCCGTTGGGTGGGTGACCACCTGGGAACACTGCGGTGCCGTTGGCGGAAAATTTGGGACCTGAATGGCCGAGCGTCTAGCGCTCCTGGCGCTCCCTTCAACAGGTTTGGGCACGTGGGTTCAAATCCGGCGGTGCCCTGGATGTTTGTAGTGGTTCGGAATCCACTTTAAGCCGTAGGTCCCGGTCTCATATGACTGCTGTAAGAGCGTCACGGAGCAAAAGTCAGGCTTCTACCTACGGGTGCTCCATCACAACAGAAGCTGCTTCCTTCCCCTTCAATCATGAGTCCATATGGGCTCGTGGGCTTGGCCAGCCAAGTGGGATAAGAAACAACAACAACTATCTGCGGTGCCCTGGATGTTTGTAGTGGTTCGGAATCCACTTTAAGCCGTAGGTCCCGGTCTTCTATGACTGTAAGAGCGTCACGGAGCAAAAAGTCAGGCTTCTACCTACGGGTGCTCCATCACAACAGAAGCTGCTTCCTTCCCCTTCAATCATGAGTCCATATGGGCTTTAAGCCGTGGGCTTGACTGTAAGAGCGTCACAGCCAAGGCTTCTACCTGGGCTCCATAAGCTTCCTTCCCCTTCAATCAACAAGTGGGATAAGAAACAACAACAACAGAAGGATGATGAAAATCCACCACCCACCCTACTTGGGAGCCTTGTGCCTTTTCACCAGCCTAAAAGAAACAATAAAAGTCAGCTTTTCATTTGCATATTTAAAAGTCTTGTGATTACCAAATCAAAGGAACAATGGGGGATGACCTTTCTTCTGTGTATTTAAAGTCTCGCGACATTTTACAAGAGATAAGTGTGACAATGGGAGAATTATCTTTCGCGCATGTAGTTAGAATAATTTACATGAACACAATGAGGTCTGTAGTGAAAACATATATGAGATAAAAACGTATTTGCAATTCTACTTAAATTTACTTTAACTCATCTGATTTTCATAAGGTTTTTTTGGATTTGGAATTTTTTTAGAAAAGAAAAAAAAATCCCTTTTTCTACAAATTTTCAGTATTTTTAAAATAATCTCGTTCTTTAAGAGATTTTTTTCTCACTACTGTTGAAAGTTTAATTTAGAATTTCTCCGTGATTATTTTCTGTGCTCGCCATTTCCGTCATGGTATGTTAAAAGCCAGTTGAAAATAATAGATTAAATAGCAAACGTTAATAGTGTTGTTAAATAAGTTATTTTAAAGTAATATTTTCGTTAATAATAATAATATTTTAGTAATATAATCTATTATTACAATGTAATACTATCGTTAATAGTAATATATTGTAATGTTATAACGTAATAGTTTCGTTAACAGTTATATAATATAATATTATAGCATATTTTTTTGTTAATAGTAATATAACGTAATGTTATAACGCAATATTTTCGTTAATAGTAATAATTTTCGTTTTATCTATTTTCACAATCATCTGGGATTGCAGAGAAGTTTTTAAAAGTTGGGAAAGCACTATTGTTTCCAAATACCGAGAACATTTATACCAGAGATTATTTGCTGACTAAAATGGCATATATACAAATCCATAGTTACACAGGGTTAATAAATCATTGCACTTTTATCAATGCAAATTGATATGAACATCTTCATTAATGCATTCTGGGAGTTCCGTACCTTCTTCCTCAAACAGAAAGGCTTTCCATCAACGAATTTTTCTTTGTTTTCTTTGGCATAGAAACTTTCAATGTGATATCGTTTTCCGAACCGAAACGCTGAGTTGAAAAAGACAATGCTCTATTCACCTAATAGCTACGTTTCGTAAACATAAATATATCCCTCATCATCATCATTGGCGCAACAGTTCCCATGGTGAACCAAGGCCGTCTGCCTACTGATAGATTTCGAAAGGTGAAATGTTTTTTTTTTTTTTCCGGGGTAGCCCTATGCCCAACGCTCAACAACCTTATTAGACTGAGACCTACGGTTTAAAGTGGATCCCGAACCACTACAAGCATCCATGGAACCTCCGGGACCCAAACCCAAAACCTGTGTTTTAAGTCACTGATAGGCCGAGTGACTAGCGCTAGTCGAGCGACAGAGTGCTAGTCACTCGACCATCAGGCCCCAAATACATTCCTACTTTTTTTAAATATAACATTAGTGGGCCCTACTATTCTTCTATCTAAGGGAAATTAGTTTTTGAAATTATTACTTAATTAATTGTGAAAGCCATTATATTGCAAAGTCAAATACTTGTGTGTTAAAAATTTTTAAATGTTTTCCATTTATTCATGACCGCGAGACGGAAAAAGAAGCGGAGAGAGCGCATGTCCAAACAATGCGGGTCCCTGGAAAAGGGCTCTTATTAATTATGTCACGCCACCGGAGGAGGAGGAAAGATGGCAATCTCCCCGGCAAGATGTCACGAGGCGGCTCAGGGTCAAGCGGCCGGCGTCAAAACAATTCATCGAGGTGGAGGGAGGGACCGAACACAAATTGAGTCGCTTTATTCCGTGAGATAAAACGACAGAACGTAATTCATTTTTCCAAATAAATGTTTTGATAAACTAGAATTGGTAAAAATTAGAATTGCAAGTACGTGGTTGCAACTAGTAGATTAGTTGTCGATACCCAACCGACATTTAAAAAAGAGTTGCAGTTTTCAAATATCGGATACATTGAACTGAGATATTTCATCATTAAATAAATACGAATGTAACAGATTCAGTGTTATCTAGGAAACACACGGATGCCTGCTACACTGCACCACATTTGGAACAGACTTTTTTCCTGCAACGCTGCACCTTTATTTCTCCTGTCTAACACAATCGGAAGAATTTTACGGCTATGGATTCAATATGACTATCCTTTCCATACGTATGAAAGCTTGCGTTATGACTTCTCTCGTAGGCCATAGCACCCTCAGTTTTGAAATGTACTATCCACCCGGCAGCTCTTTCCTTAAACTTCCAATAACAAACTAACGTTTGCTTCGGCAGTTGAAGCATTAGGGGGCCTGAATGGCCGAGTGTCTAGCGCTCAGTGCCACATGTTTCGGGTTAGAACACCGGCGGGGTCAGGGATGTTTGCAGTGGTTCGAAATCCACTTTAAGCCATCGTTCCCGATCTCATATGACCGTAGAGCGTCACAGAGCTCAATCAGACTTCTTTCTCACTCACAACATTCCCAAACTGTAAAGAGGCAACTCGACTCTACGCACAGTGATGTGGTGTGGTGTAGTATTAGTAGTAGTAGCACTAGATCTGACTGGTTGTTTAGTGGAATGGTGCGCTGCAAGAGGGTTCATATTCGAATCCATTGGTGGCGATATTAAAGTCACTGCCTTCAAAAACGATGAGACTCGATGACAGATATGTCAATATGTGTAAAGTACCTCGCATCGATAGTAAGACTAACTGTTGGGAGTTTTCCAAGTTTTCTTCTATAATTGTGGTGTAATTACTCCTAGAAGTCGTTCGGGAAGGCACTGTCCTCTCCTCAGTGTATTTGGGTTGGCTATTCTTGGTATGTGCCAACGGCCGTACCATGTTGAATATACCGGTTCTCGTTAGATCACCGAAGTTAAGCATCTGGGCGCGGTCAGACTTTGGGTTGAAACCTGGGAACACTGCGTGCCGTTGGCAAGTTTTGGGACCTGAATGGCCGAGTGTCTGGCGCTCTGGCGCTCGGTGCCACAGGTTTCGGGTTCGAATCCCGGCGGTGCCATGGATGTTTGTAGTGGTTCGGAATCCACTTTAAGTCGTAGGTCCCGGTCTTCTATGACTGTAAGAGCCAAAGTCAGGCTTCTACCTACGGGTGCTCCATCTGCTTCCTTCCCCTTCAATCATGAGTCCGTATTTGGGTTGGCCAGCCAAGTGGGATAAGAAACAACAACAACAACAACATTCTTGGTATATATGAGGCCAAACGATGTTCCCTCTCCTTTTTAAATGATAAGGGGCTATATAACCCTGGCGTTGAGGTGTGGAGAAAAGAAAAAAGTAGTAGAACTAGCTGGTACTGGTGTTTTCCTATTTTTCATCACGCTTAATCTAAACTTGCCTCACTTGTTATAAGAAAAACCTCCAAGAAAGCATTCTTTCTCTATTCCGCCTTGAAATGAAACAAATCCTACAGTAATCACTCAGGATGCCATTAAATCTGCTACAAATCATGCATATGAAGGTTTTCTTATGCCTCTCTATCAAAAATTAATCGGAGGAACAAATCCATTTTTAAACTAATACTAATATTTCCAGGAAAGTAACTAAAAAACTCCAATATGATGATATTATTCAAAAAAAAATTTAATAATTAAATTACAATTTTACGCAGAACATTGCTGCTGTGTCATTTAAAAAATTCATTATCATAGTGAGTGATTATCAAATTATTTGATACGTTGCATTTTAGGAACATGCCATTCAAATTATTTTTTGTTACATCTTGAACCTGCAATGTATGTTCTACTGCCATGAATAATCTACTTGTGAGCTTTGATAGAGAGGATATTCTCTTCTAGGATCACTTTAAATGTTATCTGTTCTACATTTGCACGTAATACAGGGAAAATCCCCGAAAAGATCTCAACAGATAGTCAAGCTGTTGATGCAAGATGGTTCACACAATTGTCACTAACACCATCGAATCCCCTCATTTCTGAAAACAAAGTTTTTTAAAATTACTTTTTTGTCATGTAATATATGTAAGTATATGTATACAGAGATAAATATTGCAAAATAGATAGCGAGATATCGAAATAAATATATAAAGGACGACTCCAGCAGATTGAATACGAGTGCCACTTGTATTTAAAAACAATTCTATATGAAATCTGACGAAAATAATTATTTTTTTTTATAATATTTGTAATAGTATTATAGAAAAATAGAACCTCAAATATGGAGATCATAAATGCTTGATTATGAACTTTTAAAAAAAGTCGTCTAAATGTCTTTCTAAATTTTCTGTAACATATTCTAAATATATTTCCCGACAGTAAAAAATTAAGATTATTAATATTAAAAATTATTAATATTATTAAAATATTTAAATTATTTTTTTGTCGTGAGCAAATATATGTATTGAGAGAGATATCGCATAATAGATAGCGAGATATCGAAATAAACAATATGGAGATAATAGCGAAATATCGAAATAAACAATATGGAGATAATATCTAGATATCGAAATAAATACATAAATAGAGACGTGTAGATAAAGATACATAATGCGTTTTTTTAACGCTTTCTTTTTCCTTCCCATTTCATGGTAATTTAATTAATTCGCTACTAACACAGCCTAAGTGCATTAAATTAGACTAAAATGCTTAAAGCATTGCAGATCGGCTAAAGAGCATATTTTTTTTATCTACCCTCCCCTTTTCCTCTAATTCAGCTTGCATCGCTAAAAGCAATTTCAACGTTCAAGCTAGCATTAGCGGAGAAATCGATTGCTCTGTGAGGGGGACATTGTGCTTATCCGCGGAGGGACACCCCCACCCCCACCGGAGATCCTATTTAGATGTCACTTTCGGTTTCCATTTCTCGATACACGCTTCCGGAAGTTGCAGGAAGGACCGAGGATAGGAGAGCAAATCGTTAGGATACGCACAGCGAGACTTCCGACTTCCTACAAAGGAGCAAGACTTCTCACTTAGTCTATTAATCACCTCTCATACTTTCACACTTTGTATTGGTTAGGAAGGAACTTACTAATAGTCTTAAATTAATATGCCTCATCAATTCTGTTTGTGAATTTCCGAGAAGTATTTGTCGAACGGTAATGCAACTTGTTTCTTAAAGTAAAATTTTTTTTATATTTTTTTCCATCATTTTTTGGTTGGTAGGAATTAAAGGCAAATCCTTACTAACGATTTTCATTTCAAGTAATTATTAAATTATACTCTTTTTTTAACTCTTATGAGTTAAAAAAGAATAAAAATAATTAAAATATAATTAAATAATACCGTTTAACAGTTAAAAAAAAAAAACTTTAATAATAGACCGAAAACAAACTGGAAAAAGCAAATTACTTATAAAAGCATACTACCAATTGATAAAAATCTTATCAACGATTGACAACAGGAAAAATAGGTTTTAATTTATTCGGTTAACGCTTTATAAATGTGTGTATACATAAATAAGAAATTTTTTTAATGCAACGAATAAATTTTATTAAATATTTGAGTGTTAGTTTGACTATTTTAATTTAATCCCTAAAAATAAATAAAATTTAATAAATAAATAAGCAAATTAATGAATTATTTAAAGCAATATATATATTATCTATTATTATATATATATTATCTATTATTATATATATATATATTATCTATTATTAATAATAGACACCAATAGACATTATTATATATATTACCACGAGTCAGGTACTACACACATACACACATATACATATATATATATATATATGCGTGTGTGTGTGTTTATGTATGTATATGTGTGTACCTGACTCCTCACTTGGTGGCACCGTGTACCTCTGGTGAGCATTAAGGCGGAGGTTCCATCCGCTGGCAGCTTTGTTGTCAGCACTGTTTTAAAAGACGAGAAGACTAGATGGCGTTTCTGATGCTCAGCATTTGCCTTGTTAGTCAGACTACCTGGTGGGAGTTTTCAGGTTTTCCTCCCATACTATACGCAACTATACGTAGTTCCTTTTATAAAGTTCTGTTCTCCTTCTTCAGCGACATGTAGCAGAGGTCATATTTCTACCTATAGGTGTTCCATTACAACAAAAGCTGCCCCCTATTCCATCCTTCCGTTAGGGATACGACAACACAACAACAAATATATATATATACATAGGGTCGTCAAAATAATTATATGGTAATGACATGGTAGTTGCTAATCGGGCTAATAGATCGATTAAATATTTCTTCCTAATATGCTCGACTGATTACTGTACTAATTAGAAGTGTTTATATTCATGAAAATTAGAGACATGAAAAAAAAAAAGAAAGTAATAGCATGGTTTTGTGTTTGAATTTTTAAAACAAAAAAATTAGGGTTATCTATCAAGTGACGACATTTTACCTATGCAAACTGTTTAAAAATCACGAGGAGAGAAAAGATAGAGATCTACTTTAATACGAAATGTCATTAATAAGATCATGAGATGTCAAAGCAATTAATTTTTCTTGGAGCTCACTAGCCCCGAGGGGGCTTTCGTCTCCTGTATGTGCTGGGACGTGAGATGTCATTAATGAGATAATCATAATGACATCTCACGTCCGTACCATGCATATCACAAGACGAAAAAAAAAATGTGCTATATAGTGCAATTGCGTTACTATGGGCGACTTTCTAAAAGTAGGGGACTTTATTCTTCTACAAAACGTACGCAAAATATCCGAAACCATGATACTAGCTGTGCTACTGTAATTGTAAAAAATTTAAAAACTGATTTTCAGACTTACAAAATGTTACTTAAGGAGAAATTCTTGTGTTTACGCCGATTTTGTGTGTTTCTATTCTTTTGCGTATATCGACAAAGAAAAATTCAATTTTTACTGATAAAATCTGAAATTTAAATAATTTAATCTCTGTGTACTTGCAACTAGCGACTATCTCTAAATATTATATTATATATATCTAAATATCTCTAAATATTATATATACACACACACATATATATATATATATATATATATTCGCCACAGGTTTCAAGGACCATGGATGTTTGTGGTGGTTCAGGATCCACTTTAAACTGTAGGTCCCGGTGTAATGTGACTGTAGAGTGTTGGGAGCATAGGGCTGACAACCCTACTCCGTAAAAGAAAACGTCGCCTGTCTAGAAATCTGCCAGTAGGCAGACGGCCCTGGCCCACCATGGGACTGTTGCGCCAATAAAGAAGAAAAGAGAATATGTTTATGTATTCATTTTTTTTTTAATATTTGGTTACTTTTCACTTTGTGTCTAAGCAAAAAAAATCTGTTTTAAAGTATGTTACAGTTTTAAAAAAATTAGTAAAAATAAGAATTTTTTTTATTTTCTGTAAACTAGGAAATGTTTTGATTTCATATGTAAAATGTCTTTAAAATGCACGAAATTAAAATTAAATGACTATTTTATTGAATTCATACCAATATAACAATTATGCGCTGATGTTCATGTTGGTTGTTAGTGATATTATAAAAATTGAAATAAACAAAAAAACTTTTTATCTCCTATAACCCAAGTTTGAATCTTGTTTCTTCACTGATGTTACCCACAAAAGTTTCTTTTAACAGAATAAAATGTAGCTTAAATGTCGTTCAAAGAAAATTTAAAAATACATTTACCACATATTGTTGAAATTTGGTTTGCGGTTTTGCAAGCATGTAGAGGTATATTTTAGTAAGAAAAGTTTGCTGAAAGACTGGTATTTTTATAGATTCTGTGTCACAAAGTTTTGCTGTTTGGTGGCAGAGTGGAATTGAATTTTAAAACATAAAAAATGAAATTGCATATTAAGTAAATTAAATTTTATTTTGTTATTTAAATATTACAAAGAATTACATGCATATTTGTAAAAACCGGCGCAGGTTCATAATTTTAAAATATCTTGGAATTATTAATAAAAACACGGCAAATTATATAACACAGATTAACTAACTAACTTCCTGGCACTACAGTTCATGT